CAGAGACAGTGCTGGAAAGGTGGCAAGGTCTGTCCGTTGCGTATGTATATGTATAGGATCTGGCAAGATCTCACCATTGCTGAGAGTAAGTTTTTTAATATAATCGGCACGGTCGGAGGTACTAAGGCTTTCCACGTAATCCATGGTCAAATCTTTGATTTAAAGTACAGTATTTAGTGTATGTGTGCAGTCATGAAATGTGGCAGGTCGTAAAGTAACGTTAACGAGCGTAACGTAACTTATATAAAAGCAAATTCGGGCTGTCCAGTAGATGCTGCACTGCTAACACTGGCTATTACATTACTATCCTAACATGATCATTCATACATGTATCACAGTAACACTGCAAAATTAAAGACAGACAAACAGATCCAACTAAAATCATGTTTTATTGTGTCAGCAGATATACAAACAATACAAACAATAACGAAAGATTCAATACTTAAGGTTGTTGCAGTAACGGACCCGCTCACCAATCTGGGTTTCTGCCTCTGGTATGCGCACACACCCTGTAATGTTTGTAAACAGGAAACCAATGTATAGATTATTAATTTACTTTTAGTACGATTGTTTTACCGCCTTTTTTCAATTGTCCAGTCTGTATCACATTTTCACAACTCTAAACACAATTAGCACAACATCCGTCTGTTGTAACCGTACCATTAACACAATTCGTGTAGTTTACACTCAATATACAGTCAATTAACACTTTCTAATATGTTTACATTTTCTTTTTGAGCTTACTCAATACCAAAATCATGGATCTTTCTGGTCTTATACACGGGTTTCCTGTTTACAAACATTACAGGGTGTGTGCGCATACCAGAGGCAGAAAGCCAGATTGGTGAGCGGGTCCGCTACTGCAACAACCTTAAGAACTGAAGCTTTCCTTATTGTTTTTATTGTTTAGTGCTGACTCAACAAAACGTGATTTTAGTTGGATCTGTTTGTTTGTCTTTAATTTTGCAGTGTTACTGTGATATACAGTGTGTATGAATTATCATGTTAGGATAGTAATCTAATAGCCAATGTTAGCAGTGCAGCATCTACTGGACAGCCCGAATTTGCTTTTATATAAGTTACGTTACGCTCGTTTATGTTACAGACACCACCACTATGCTACTAGCCTACCACACGAAACATGTCTTTTTTCTGCGTCCCGGTCGCGTGCGCAAGCAGTGATGACGTTGCCGAGATATCCATGTATATACAAATGCTTAAAACACAGCATGACAGAAATGAAGACCTAATGTTCCAAAACTTTAATATTGTATAAAGCCTCTACTTCTGCAACATCAGCAGCTCAAAAATACTAAAAAAGAATATATTAAAAATATTGAAACAACTGATAAATAGATCACTGAAATATTGAGAAAGAACTGGATCCAATCTTGGAGGCATTGGTCAAGTGTTGGAAGTTTTACACGGTAAAAAAGGACTCTTTGAATTGGTTTTGTTCAATGTGGATGTCAAACTGACAGAAGCAGAGAGAGAGAAAAATATATTTGAGTGAGGGAGAGGAATAGTTGTGGAACCTATGAAAGCTTTTTTCCGCCATGGGAAATAACATAAAAAAGGTAATTATGACTTTTTAATCTCACAATTCTTACTTTTTTCTTCTTCTCTCAATTCCTAGTTTATACCTTACAATTCTGAAATTCCTCACAAAAAGTCAGAATTGTGAGATTAAAAAGTTACAATTACCTTTTATGATTTGATGTTGATCAAAGCTTACACTAAAAGGAAACTGAATTATAAAAAACAATGGATTTCATATTGTCTGCAGGTAGAACTGAAACGTGACAAGTAATGCAGATTTCATAATGTCATCAATTGTTAGTATTTTGACAGTCATTGCGCTATACGATTGACTATATGTTCATGTTGGAAAGAAAACTAGTGCTAGTGTTTTGACAGAATGATTGTATTTTGAGTCGGTTTTGCTGTGAGTATAGAAAAAGGTTTTGAGCATTGTGAAATTTAGAGTTTGTGTTTATTTAACAAAATGTGGTTTTTGGACAGAAAATTAACTATTTGGCCAATTGTGTGATGTGTTGCTGTCTTAAGAGTTTGGAAAAAGTACTTCAAGTATTGATAAACGCTTGTTAGCAATTGTAAGAAACTGTAAATGTGTAAAACTGCACATAATTAACACCAAATAATTTGACAAACAGTCACATATCAGTAACAGGCTAATATAGCGTTACATTTCACGTTCCTTGCAGCCAATTCATTACAATGACATATAATAGTGTGATCAAACGTACAGGTAATACAAAAACTAATTTATTATCTCATCCATGAACATAATTTGTGTTTTAAGCTGATAATTATTTTTGTATCAATACAAAACATAACTTTGTTGTTATTCGATTACAGTGTATCTAATCAATCTATTCCACTTCCCGATGTCATGTGATTTATCATGTTTTTGACCAATTTACTACTTTTACTTCAAAGGAGTTCAACTGTTGACTAAAAACTATTTATATTTTGTTTTATATATGTAGTTGAAATGCAAATAAATTCAGTGTCCAGCATATTCCCTGCCATTATAAATGTTGTCAGGTGGAACAACCGATATTCATCAGGTACTGGTGCAAACATGTAAATCCGTGTTGTATCAGCGATTTCAGGCCCAAACAAAAAGCTCACATTCATCTAATCTTTCCTAACGATCCGCTAGCTGCCCGCCCCATAAGCAGGCTGTCGAAAAAACCGAGTCTCTGTGGGCAGCCTAGGCTCTGAAATCTGCACCCAAAAACAATTGGGTTCACCAACCACTCAAAACCAAAATAAATAGTGTTCCAACCAATCACTGACAGGGGGCGGTGGGTGTTGTGACGTCTTGCGCTCGTGCACGGCTGCACGCGAAGTCGGAGCTGAAGAAGAAGCCAGCGTCTAATCAACCATAGACATAATAAATATGCTATCAACGAACAAGAGAAATTGAACATGGCTGAGTCAATCCCCAAGAGGAGGAGGAGGATTAGGTCGAGGGACTACCATCGTGTTTATTCAAAGACACGAATAGTTATCGGGAAGGCTTTTGAAAGCTGGAGAGAACTTAAAGAATTGAAAGATTTTAAATCGGACGCCGAGGTTGCGCTGTTTCTTCTGGACCGGTGAGTAGCTGCTAGTGCTGACACTTTTCAGATGTGAACTGTGTGTGAAAATATCAACACTCAACATCAGCTGTGGGAGGCTGTAGCTCTTGGGAAGCAGCCCGAGCTCTCCCTCTTCCTCTCCCTCGTACAGAACTGTAGGTAAATAAAGGATATATAAAGGATATAGGCAACGTTATGACACCTTGCTAGTAACCATTTATATTAGAAAAAACTATTCTGTTAGCTGGGAGAAAAGCTGGAAGCTAGATATGTAGTTGATAACATAATGTTCTGCATTAGCCTATTTTTAAAATACACAATATTGACTGTGCAAGTAACGGATATTATATGTACTTGGTCATAAAATTATGTTACAAAAACAACTAGGCCTAATGACTTACCCAGCAGAATGAGCCATCATTGAGGTGGAACGTCGATCTGAATATCGTGTGTCTGTCGCTTTAAAGGTTGTATCAGCGATTTCAGGCCCAAACATAAATGATCACATTCATATCTTTCCTAACGATCCGCTAGCTGCCCGCCCCATAAGCAGGCTGTCAAAAACCGCGTCTCTGTAGGTAGCCTTGGCTCTGAGATCTGCACACAGAAACAAATGGGTACAACCACCACTCAAAACCAAAATAAACTGTTCCAACCAATCACCGACAGGGGGCGGTGGGTGTTGTGAGGTCTTGCGCTCGTGCACGCCACGGCCCCTGCAGTGCACGCGAAGTCAGAGCTGAAGAAGAAGCCAGCGCGTCTATCAACGGACCAGATACAGACATGGAAGAGGCAATCCCCAAGAAGAGAAGGAGGATTAGGGCGAGGGAAAAACGTCGTTATTCGTTAAAGAAACGAATAATAATTGGGAAGGCTTTTGAACGGTGGAGAGAGATTAAAGATTTGAATTTTTTTAAATCGGACGCTGAGGTTGCACTGTTTCTTCTGGACAGGTGATTAGCACACAAAAGACTAAAGTCTAGTGCTGACTTTTTCAAATGTGAACTGTGTGTGAAAATATCCTTCTTTAAAAAATATGTGTGAAGCTCGACTAAACTTTGATAGCTCTTGGGAAGCAGCGGCCCTCTCCCTTGTACAGAACTGTTACTTACAAGTTAAATGATAATAGGCAATGTTATGACAACTTGATTGCAACCAATTTATATAAAAAAACTATTCTGTTAGCTGGGAGAAAAGCTGGAAGCTAGATATGTAGTTGATAACATGTTCATGCATACAAAGTAAAATAAAAAAAGTTTTTTAAAGTAAAAACATTTTCTGCATTAGCCTATTTTAGAATACACAATATTAAAAGTGCAAGTAACAGATATTATATTTACTTGGTTATAAAATTATGTTAGAAAAACAACAATAATGACTTACCCAGCAGAATAAGCCATCATTGAGGTGGAACGTCGATCTGAATATCGTGTGTCTGTCGCTTTAAGAAATGCGCGTGCATGATCGTTTTTTTTTCATGATGCACGAAACGGGAGGGAGGGGCGAGCTAACTTGGTTTGTTTGGGATCTCGCTTCAAACACAAACACCCACAATCGCTGATACGCTGAGGACAATGTTTACTTTTTTATGTATTTTATTATTTAAAATCAATATTTTTATTCGTAGATATGTCCTCAATGGTGTACAAATACCTCTGCCAATTATCTGACTTATCCTCGTAAACGAAGAATTTATTATCTTTATATACATGGGACGGGTAGGTCCACGGAGGCTTATCATGGCTTCCATGTAGTTCCGCCATCTTGAAAAATTATAATAGCAGAGAGGGACAAAAAGTACTAGGCCAACGCGTTTCCACAACGCGCTTTCGTTCAGAGCCAGCGTCACGTAACTGAAAGCAGCAGAAACGGAGTGGAGGCGCTTGTCACTGCCCCGGCAAGTTTAAAAGACTGCATTGCACTGTTATTTTTAATGGCGGACCATACATATGCCGAGCCACATGAGAAGGAATCCTCGTCGCCCAAAAAGTCCAAAATAGATCGAATAAGGACACGTAACCGGAGATTACAAAAAACACGAGTTAATGTCGGGATAGCTTTTCCCAGGTGGAAAGAGCTAATGCAGGAGAACGATTTCAAAAGAGACGCTGAAGTTGCCTGCTTTCTTCTCGACAGGTAAATCAATGTTACAGTCGTGATTACAAGCTTTGTTTCATTGTTTGGTTGTGAACTTTATTTTATAAGGAAAACTCGACGAAGTGCTATTAGAAGACATCCTGTCATAGCTTTTTGGTACATAACGGCTACCGTAGATGCAACGCGCATTTGAAAAAGCGAGTCGCTCGCTGGAGAGCACAGTTCGTTTGAATGCAAAATACATTTTCACTGCTAACTTAGATTGGGAGACATTACAGTGTATCTAACCAATCTATTCCAGTTCCTACGATCCCGATGTCATGTGATTTATTCTGTTTTTGACCAATTTACTACCTTTTACTTAAAAGGAGATGACTAAAAACTATTTATATTTTGTTTGATATATGTAGTTGAAATGCAAATAAATGTAGTATTCAGCATATTCCCTGCCATTATAGATGTTGTCAGGTGGAACAACAGAAATTCATCAGGTTCTGGTGCAAACATGTAAATTCGTGATTTAAAACAACAAATAACAGAAGTGAACAAATGGTTACTTGAAAACTTGGCAACCCGTGCCGGAACGTCTGTTATTGTTTTGGTCCGTGTGGCCCCGCCCACTGCCGGGTTGCCAGTTAGCGGAAAAACAGTTGCAATCATGGAAGCCAGTGAACGAACTGTCTCAGAGATCGCAGATTCTACTCGTCCTAAAAAGCCCAGGCATCCATCTAAAAAACGCTATGACCTGAATTACAATAAAAAGCGGATAAATATCGGAGATGCGTTTGAGAGATGGAAACAGCTTAAAGCCCAGAAAGACTTCAAAAAGAATTCAGAGTTGGCTGGTTTTCTCCTAGATAGGTAACGTTAACGTTAATGTTAATCGTTGAGCTTCAGCTAAAGTTAGCTAGCTAATATTCAGGCTTCTAGTGGGAATGGATATTTTATGTAACCACTCTGTGTTTCGTGGGACCTGGTTATATCGAGAGAGACGCAGTGTTTACCACGAATCATCGTGACGAAAACCACAAGTTTGACTCGGATTTACAGCTGAATAGATGTGGCTAGCGTTAGATGTGTCATTTTCTGTGTCCATAGGTTGATTATGGCATATTGTTTTATAGATACGAGGGTAAAAGCACCCCCATTCCTGGTAAACGTCGTAAGCGTCCCTCGAAGGCTCCTGCACAGCCCACTTATGAAGGTCCAACAACACTCGCTGAATGGTCAGTATCTCAATCCATATTCATTTGCAAACCACGTTGTGAAGTGTATGAGTACATAAGTAAGCTAACACTAAGAGATGTTTGTTGTTAAATTAAATTTGAGTACAATTTTGTATCACAGTTGCACAAATCTGTAAAATAGTGAAACGATCTCTATAGAGAAGAGTTGCAACATTAATATAATATTTAAAGGGGTAGTTCACCCAAAAATGAAAAGTCTGTCAAAAAGAAAATTATATTTTGAAGAATGTTGGTAATAAAACTGTTGACGGTAGCTATATGGAGAGAGAAAAAAACTGTTTGGTTACTGACATTCTTCAAAATATCTTACTTTGTGTTCAGCTGAAGAAAGAAATTCATACAGGTTTCATTTTTGGGTAAACATCTCTATAAATATGGTCTCTTAGTAAACATGACAGTGAACTAGAAGCATACATATGCAGAATTTCTTTTTTGTAATATTTTTTTATATCTAGTCTTAACAATTTGAGTGTCCACAACGATGAAAACTTTATCATAAACAGTGTGCAAGTTGTAATATTTTTTGTTTTTGTTTTTAATAGTATTGCATATAGTATATAATATCGGAGTCGGATGATTCCTAGTTTACTAATCTCACATTTTACAGTTATGATTGGGGAACAGATGATGAGGAGGAGGAGGAGGAAGAAGAAGAAGAAGAAGAAGAACAGAAATCTGACTGCTATGACAGCCAAGATGATGAATTTGTTCCTCGTCTTTGTGGACGGTATTTTGTATAATGCTCTTACCAAACCAACCTATTGCTGGCTTAATGTCACTTAAATCTATAGTGTTGTGGGACGAGTCTAAAGTCACTACCGATATTTAACTGACATGTTTTCCTTGCAAACTGAATCTTCATTTGCAACATATACAGTCAAACCAAAAACTATTCAGACACCAGATATCATTTTTGATATTTTTTAACTAGTGGTTGCAGGACACTATAGTTCATTTATGTAAGTGAGGATAGCAAAATAAAGTAAACTGTGACATATTATACCCAAACATTCCTCATACAGTGGACTACCAGTAAAATTCATTAAAATTTGGGACCAAATATTATTCAGACACTTTGACCTGGCTTTGTTTTGCTGAAGTGTTTTTTCTTTAATTGCTAATGCGACATTTTTACAGCACAGACTGAACAAAAGTAAGCATTTTGGTCATTGGTTGAGCTAAATGTGTATTATCTAATTGTGTAGTTAAATTTAACAGCTGACAGATATTCAACCCAATTCATCTGTGAGACAGTCAGACAGAAGGACGGACAAAACCAGTGAAACATCAACTGATTTGAGAACTTCTTGTCATAATTTATTACCATTTTCTAAACTATAGCGAATAAACTGTGATAATGTGAGAAATTTTGAAGGTTTCTGAATAAATTTGATTTGAATGTAAATGAGTGTGAGAGATTCGTATTGGCTAAACCAACATGTTAACTTAAAATGTGATGAATATATGTCCTGTGCTGACAGGAACGGTGGAGCGTCGCACGGACTGGATGAGATTGTTTATGACGTCCGTGACACAGAGCCTCCGCTCGTCTTTCCCTCTCCTCCCGAGATCTTCACCGAGGACGACCTCACAGGGAAACGGGCATCCATCGCCTATGAGGACTGTCTGAAGCAGCTGGCGTCGTTCCTCACGCTGCCTGTGCAGAGGTGCCCGTACAGGTGTGACGTCAGCCACGTGAGGTGCCAATGCCGTCCCCCCTTCCAGGTCTCCATCACATGCAGGGGTACAGCGAGCATCATGGAATGGGTGAGGAATTGTAAAACACTGTAACCAAGTCATGTGCTTGCAGTGAACGCGGTTTTGCCAGACTTGATTACTTGGTTGCTCGTATATAGAATGCGAATCACTGTATTCTTTTAATTTGAGAATAGGGCTGGGCGATATGGCCAAAAAAAATATTTTTTTTATATCAGTCGATATCGATAAATGTCAAATCTTTATTTCTTTCAAGTTTAAAGGCAGATTTTTGCTCCTAAGTGAAAGTTGTAGAAACCAGAGCGTTAATAGGCTTTATGCCGAGCGTCACGTGACCAAACTGGAAAACGGGTCTCATTGCATCCGCTTGTCAGAGAAAGTGTTAACGGCCGTAAGATCTAACTACGATATCTATGGATTTTTAAGGTAATCAGCTAACCTACTAAGTTCACTTTGTTATTGGTGTTTTATGCTATTTAAATATCTAAACGTTAGTGTGAAGAAGAAAAATTAAAAAACTTTTAAATATCAATCTGCACATGCGAGGGACATTGGTTATGCTCATTTTTGCTTGCTCCTTTTAAGTTATCTTGAGTAAAACCGCAAAAAATTTCATGAAGCACATACAAAAGACCTGAATCGGAAGCGATGTGATCTGTTTTCCGGCTTGGTCACGTGACGCTCGGCATAAAGCCTATTGTGGTTTTAAACTACTCTTTATTGCCAGAACATATCATGACAAACACTTGCCAAACAGGAGAACATTTGCCAAATCTGAGTTAGAACATTCAAACATGTGTCATTTTTCCTTAACAAAATAAATATCTTTATAGTAAAAAATATCTTTATAGTTTCTGCATGTGCTCATTTTTATTTGGTAAAATGTAATATTCTGACTGTTTGAGTTTTATTAAAATGAACCATTGGTCATCCAGCATCATGCATTTAGATCATGATAACCACAGATACAACCAGGCATAGCCTACAGCACCTCACTAGCATGACAATATGTTACTTTATGGTTTCTATGGTATTTGTTAGGGGTGTGACGAGATCTCGTGCCACGAGATCTCGCGAGACTAAATATGACGAGATTTCTCGTCGAGTGAAAAAGCTGTCTCGCGATATCCCCATTAATATTCCACCGCTACACTCACATTCGCCTAAACTATCGTTTTGTTGTTTTTATAAAAAAATAAAAACCATTATAAACTAATGCAAAAGTCTGCTCTGCTCATCCAGCGCGAGTTGCCGTTGCAATCAGTGCAGCACGAATCACAGTTCACTGATCGCGTGACGATGGCGGAGGATTCGTTGCGCAACAGACTAAACGTCTGGTAAATGTCTTATCATTTAGAATGCGCGCTCAGCACCGCTGCTCCCTATACGCGCGGTCACGAATTTGTAAGTGAAAGTAAAACACAAGCTCCCTGATGTGCATTGCGCACAAATTAGGCTGCATACATAAAATAATCCGTCTCCCAATACCCATCTCTGGACTGTTTATTTGCGGCTCTGGTCTCTGTTGGCACTGCGAATATTGAGAGAGCACTGTAACGTACAAAGGACAACAGACAAGGGAGGCTCCGTTTCTGAACTTATAATCGGAACGCAAGAACAACTGTAGAGACAAACAGCCTCGTTTCTCTCGGCCTTTTCCGAACTCACCGCATTAACCCTATAACTGCCGGTGCAAAATAAAACCGCAATTTCACAACAATTATAAAGAGTCTGTGTGCTAACTTTGATTATGGTTGCACTCGCACTTATTGTTTGCACTTAATAAGACTAAGAGAAAACAGTTATTTATTTTTGTTATTTATACGGTTTTTATTTCTCTGTTAAATGTGTGTTAAAAGGAGTTCAGTTAGGAGGTCACACACAGCCTCAATCAGAAGTTCTGAAAGCTCTTAAATGTACAGTAAGGTCTGAAGAAACTAATGTGAAATTATACAGGAGAAAAGCCAGTCAATAAAAACCTTTTACAGTGCTTGAATATTGTTTTCTTTCAATGCATTTGATAATTCATACTCATAAAGTAGACCTGAAATGACATGCATTAGAAGATTATTAGTTAAAACATTGAAAAATGCACCTGCATACTATTTTTCCAGCCATGAATTTTGTCATTGAGGATTTCTGAAAAATTGTGCAAAAATCTCGTCTCGTCTCGTTCTCGTGAACCCAATCTCGTGTCTAGTCTCGTCTCGTGAGATAAGCGTCTCGTCACACCCCTAGTATTTGTATGAAAAACTGTAGCCTAAATACATTATTAAATAATGCCATTATATTCCATTAGTCCTTACATTGTCCACATTAATAATATAATACAATTCAATATGTATATCCCACATTTCATAGTGCAGTTATTATTAGTAGGCTAACGTTACAGTAAATCCATGGTAAATGATGGGAATTTGTAGACGGAAAAGCCTTCTGACTGTATCGTTGGGCTAGGGCTGTCGCGATAACCGCAATAGTGCAGTACCGCGCTACTGACAGGCCAACCGCAGAGGAATGCAAGTAACCGCAGCAACCGCGTTTTCTTTTTTCATAAGGCCACCCTTTGTAGTTCGTACCATGTGTATTGAATGTTAAATAAGTTGATAATGATAACAAGACTGTTTATCATGGTGATTTTTACAGAGGCTTCGTGGATTTAGACTTAAGCCTAAACAGACAAACCGACTGAGCGCGTGCAAATACCTGCGTCTGTCTTTGAAGTCAAGTCATATATATTCGTGAAAAGATTGCCGTTTCCAAGGAAAGCGAAAAATTTGTCGTATCATCCTTTTAACGTGTAAGGGTATTTACCATGAATGGTGTCAGCGCTGGTCAGCATTACACAGCGTGAGGAAGCCGTGGAGGGAAAGCAGCGAGTCACGCATTGAATTAATGCCATTGGTCTCTATTAAGTAAAGCATTGCTTCAGCTTTGCCCAAAAGTGAAGCATTGCTGGCCAGCTGAGCCTTGAAAAGTGGAGCTCGAAGTTAAAAAAAATTATTAACACCTTGTTTCATTACATCTATCATTTAAGGAATCAGCTTTTTTGAACGTTTTCGTTGAATGAACGGTTTAATGACTCACTCGAAGACAGTCCGTTGGCGTAACAATGTAACTGCGGATTGAAAGACTGTCACTCAGCGTGCAGAGACGCTGTTTAGTTTCGGTTACATTGGTTACATTGTTTTTGTGTATGCTGACCACATCATAACACGTATTTATATAGCAACAAATAAATATAATTAAATGGCGGTAATACCGCATATCGCGCTATTGAGCCACTCAAAATTACCGCAAGGGAAATTCCTTCACCGCGACAGCCCTACGTTGCGCACAGTGTTTCTCCTGTTCGTCAGCGCTGTTTCATCTGCCTTTAAACTGGTTTAAATCACTGAGACATTTGTGTTCTTCGCTGAACTCAAGCGCTTGTCACTGGATCTCGTGGGCGAGACGATCGGAGTAAACGCGTCTGCTCTAGTGAGCTCGCGCTGCGCTGCCGTTTGGACCTTTGAGCCGAGCGGATAAACAGTCCGGGAGGCGCGCGCGGTTCAAATGAGTTTCGTTCCGGTTTTGGCACATAAACATTATCGACCATTTATCGAACTCTTGTTTTATCGAGAATAATTATATCGCGATAACTATCGTTATCGTTTTATCGCCCAGCCCTATTTGAGAATTTTAAAGGAATTACCCCATGATTACTTATTACACATTTATTGTTGATTACACTATACTTGCATTTTTTGAGAATATTAATAGTGCGGTGCAGGTTTGATGTCACTTTGTAGGCCAACCGGTTAGTTTGCATCACGCGTGTTTCCTCGAGAAAAAACCCAATAGGATTTTCCCATAGGCTTTTGGATTATCGCTAGAAACAAGGTCTGTGATCAACAAAAGTTTATGATACGTGCACGTTTTGACCATCAAGAAAAGTATCACAGATGAACACAACTTTTGTGAGTTTTGAAGCCTAAATGCAGTCGCCAGAAGTCAAAAGCTAAAGGTAGGCTATATGCGAACTACACCACGGTCGCTCGACTTCAACGTCACCATCGCTGAGCTTCCCACAACTTTGAGTTAGAATAGTTTATAAGAGCACAATTATAAGCATAAGGATGCTGTAAAAGCGGACTGAGTTTATCTGTTCGGCGTGATGACGTTTAATCTCCTCAACTGCCTCATTTAGCCACTTGCTAGCAACCGCCTTTTTTATGACGCGAAACAGCTTAAAAAATCGCGAGTGGGGTAATACTGATGTATTTTATGCCGTAGAAAAAAACGTGAAAGAGCTTGTTCACCACAGACCTTATTTCAGCCATTTAACCAAAAACCCATTCAAAAAACCCATTAACTTCGGGACGATGGAACTGGAAGTGCTAAAAATGCAACTCGTTTCTATGTTTTCGCCTACAAAGTGATGTCATACCTGGAACACTCTATTGTGAAAGGAGGGTTTTTTTTCCGACTTTCTGCTGTTGACTCTCAGACCTGTCCCAACGGCCATACTGTGTGGAGGTGGAGCTCGCAGCCGACAGTAAGGTGTGGGATACAAGCGGGGGATTTCATGCTGGCCACTAACATCATGCTTTCTGGGAGCAACTACTCCAGCATGGGTATGACGAGCGACGCGAGGTTGGCATGTCTTCTGTTGGACAGGTATGTGCCCACTTTTACATTACAACTAATTCTGTTCATACAGTATAGGTTGCAGTGTAAGGCCTACCATCAACCAATGCACTGGCAGATCATGTGGTTGATGACATGACGTCTGTGTTTTTGTAAAGCCAAAACAATCTCTGTTACTCAATTTCCTATTATCACTGTAAAGCTGCTTTGAAACAATCTATATTGTTAAAAGCGCTATATAAATGAAGGTGACTTGACTATTTATTCAAGTACATTTTATTTATTTAATGAATATGCAAATGAGCCCCGCCTCCACTCACTCAGCTCAGAGATCCACTGGTTGACGATCACACGTTGATCTGATTGGTTACAAGGTAGTTTGTGACGTCAGAAACACCAGCGATTTCAAACCGTGTTTTTGAGACTGTCTTTGATTCACTGCAGTTTTAAAGGTGCAGTCTGTAAGATTGACAGCTAGTGGTTGAAATAGGTACTGCAGTCCAAATTCAAAATATCGGAGATTGTTGTTTCCGCCGCCCCCTCCTCCTCAGGCCCCGTCCACACTACTGCGTTTTCGTTTAAAAACGGAGACCTTTTGCTAAGTTTGCACCTCCCGTCCAGACTAAAACGGAAAAAACGAAGACCTGCGTTTTGAATCTCCGGAGGGTGTTTTAGTGAAGACGGGACAAAACGGAGGACTTTAGAAACGATGCCGCAGAGGCTCACGCTCGGCTCTATGATTGGGTGTCATCAGTCATGACGTATCCTTCCCTGATTCGTCAGCCACCCATCACATGTCAATCTGTTTCCTGTTTACACTGGCACGCGCATGCCCAGTGTTGGTGAATGGTCACGTGATCCGCGTTTTCAGGCGTTTTAATGTGGACGGAGATCAATTCTAATACGCAGATAAAACGCTGGTGTGGACGGAGATCGTATTCGTTTTAATTCTCCGTTTTTAAACGAAAACGCAGTAGTGTGGACGGGGCCTCAGACTCGACGCTCACGCGGGTTGCCAGTTTGAGGACACGCAACAGGAACGAGCGCAATTAACAATGAAAGCAGAGGAGACTTGTCAGACACTGTAAGTTGATGAGTTGACTTATCCGTGTTTTAATACGCTCTCGTCTCGTTCATAGAGATTTTGAGATGGATACCGAGGCTTTTTAGGTTGTGTGGAATCTGCAATCTCTGACCCAGTTTGTTTGCTGGCTGTAATACACTGTTTCCTGCCAACTGGCATCCCGGAGTGTCGAAATACTTTTGGGTGAACTGGCAGTGGGCGAGATCATACAGAGCAAAACAAAAATAGACATTTCAACACAATGTTCACATACTCGTTTCTTCTACAGCCAGTTATTTTACTTTGAAATGTGTGTTCTAAGGTTTTAACGGATAATGTTGGTTTTAGTGAGATTCATTGCATTATTGGTTCATTATAGTGTTGGAATTTAGGGTTTATGATTTATCATGCTTATTTGTTCACAGGGAAATGGCAGAATCTGAAGACATGCTGTCAGCAGAGCAATCCGCAGACAGGTAACGTGTGTTTGACATCAGTACTCGACAAACACGTGATTTACCCTCTTTAGACCAATAGGAGTTGTTTATTAAAGATGGGGGTGTACATACACGCTTCAGTATTACATTATTATTATTTTTACCTTATTATTTATGGGTACAATAGTTAAAGAGTGCTTATGCATGATTTATATTATTATATCATATAAATAATATAACAATTATGAACTGTAAAATTCTGTACACAAGCAGTTTAATCCTATAATTCTGATTCAAAATGCCTGAAATGTATGGCTGTGAATCGATTCGCTTCACGATTCATTGGTTTTCGACTCAATTCAAGAACGATTTTTGCAAATTCAGAATGCTTCAATTCGAGATGATTCACAATGCAATATGATTAATGATTAGATTCTGCATTTTCTAAGTGCATTCATAGGATAATTTAAATTCTTTCCCTAATGTGTCTTAGTCAGGTTGTGAATTACACCGTGAACTTCAGGGGGTCAGAGAGTGAGGGCAAAACTAAAAAACTTTGTTTAATGATGCTGCATCACTTTATTTAATATCTTATAAAAAAAATGCTATATGTAGAAATTTACATGACCTAACAATACTTTTAAATACAATTACATAAAATTCTTCCATGGATAGACTTCCCTAAAATATGCATATCAGTTCAGCGCATATCACGAGAGTTGTGAGGGCGCGCCGCAAACGACTTATTCGTGCATGCAATAATTTAATGTTTATAGATTTAAAAACATTAAAGTGCTATTGAATCAATTCCTAGCATTTTAAATCAATTATTGACTGAAAATGATTCACGTTTGTTCAAAAATAAATGATGCATACATCAGGATGTGTAATCGATTCATATTACACACCCCTTCTGAAATGTTCCCACCAGATGTGTTTTTTTTTTTTTACAGTCTGGGGTTGGAATATGTTTAGTAGTTTCTTGTAAAAGCTTCTGAAATGCCATTCTGCGCAAGTAAGTTGCTGTCGTTTTGCCACAGTCTCCCAGTAGCGTTAAAACACGGGTTTCCTAAATGGTTTCTGTAAGGGCTTTCCAATGTAATTGTCGGCAAGGCTTTCTAGAGTGCATGAATATTGATCCCTACGCTCTTTATTTTAATAACACATGCATTTTTATAACACATGCGATTGTGGACATCGGTAGATGCAGAAAATACCACAATGAGGCACAATGAGCAAGTGATGTGTGTGCTAATGCTAATGGCAGCGATAATGGGATGAGGTCAACCAAACAAGAGATATTTCATCACATAAAGATTGTATTTCGAATGATCCACATAATTAATGAGCAAACTAATATAATGGCGTAATCCAATAATTCCCGCTTGTTCAATACATTGTTGCTCTAAAGACCTCATGACATCTTAATGGAAGTTTTATGGTTTATATACATTTAATGTTTTCAGGCTTTCTCTTTAGGCTAAATGTACCACAAATATTAATGACTCATCTCGTTCACAGGGGCGTATACTGGTTTTTGTGCAATCAAATCATCTCTAGAATGAACATGTCACTCATTTCTCACTGTCAATTTACTGATTTAATCTTTCACCATTTTATTCATACTTGCTCACTGACTTTAATTTGCTTCAGAGCACTTATATTATGGTGGCCACTTGTAATGTGGCATATAGAAGAAATTCAGAAAACACACATGACTTTACTCACTACATTCTTAAAAATAAAGGTTTCAAAAGGGTGTTTACACTGTGATGCCATAGAAGAACCATCCAGTTGGTGACGCTTGCTCGCTCTCATTGGCTATTGCGGGTATTCGATCAAAAGTCATAAACATCAAACATCTCTGATATTTGGGATAGGGTAGGATTTGGGGAAGATCAATAATCGTAATGACGCTACACAATTGTGGAGTTTTGGGACAAAAAAGTCAGTTGCGACAAGCCTTAAAATGGGCCCAACATTTAAAAAAATCTAAAGAACAAAGAACCTTTTGTGGAATGAGAAGATTCTATAGAGCTGGGGTATTAAATGAAAGTTCCAAGTTCCACAATACTTTTTTGGAACAGTTATACATTTCCTTCGCGGTAGCCGTAGTACTTTATAAAAGTAAAAATCTTCATCACACTCAAAATAGTCATCAAAGATGAGGATGATGAGAAAAGCAGTGACATTTTCAATTTTGACAAATATTTACCAAAAAAAGGTCCATGTTACTCCTAACCGGATATGAATATAAAAAGGTTAGAATAGGGGCCGGTTGCATAAACATAGCCATTATGTTAGGACAGAGTCTTACGTTTTATTATGACCCACTAGCATTTAGTCAGGGGCAGTCAGTTACTTTTCAGTATCAAATTAGGCCAATCTCAGTTTTTATGTAACTAATCTTAAAAAATTGTCATGTCTAACTTGTAAGACTAGTCTTAGAGGTTTATGCAACCAGCCCCAGATGCTTTATCAGGCTGCTATTATTTTATTTTATTGTATTTCGTAATTTTTTTTTTACATTTAGACACCTTTGTGTATGGCACAAAGAAGGCCTTGGGACTGAGAAAACATACTGGGAGAGCAGGTTTACCTCTTAAGAAAAGTGTGGACCATTTTTATATTTTGCTCAAAGTAATAAACTACTAAAAACACAATCTAATAATCAAAACTCGGATCATGAGCACAAAACAAAGCTAACTAGTAATTTCAAAGTGTTTTGTCTTCCCTTCCCTAAATAATTTTCCAATTCATAACATTGTTTTTTTATTTTTATGAAATGCTCTTACTATGCTGATTTAATAATGCTAAATGTATGTTACGCATTAACTTAAACAGTCCGAGTCATCTCTATTAGAGATAAACATAACGGTATTTGCTGCATTCTCGGTTTCTGCAGCGTTTTAGTAAAAGTATGTTAAAGCAACGCTAAGTAAGATTTTTTACCTTAAAATAATGTTTCCAAAATCGTTTCAGTGGTTCATTAAGTCGTAACAGGGTGAAAGGCACTTCTGGATTCGCTTTGCGGTCCTATATCTGCTATAACCACGCTATGTGAGATTGCCAGATCGGGTCGCGTTTCTGTAGTTCTAATGAGACATAAGAAAACTACAAATTTGACGTGCTTTATGCCAAGCGTTACAATAGTCATTATTTTGTTTTTCTTCGTTTCTGATGTCGCAATACATCATACTTTCATGAAATCATGCAACATACTCTACCTTGTCTGTGGACATCGTTCATTCCAAAGCCGGTGCTGGATAAACAGCGAGCGTGCGTGCGACAGTAGGCTGCGCTAGGCTAAATTATTTACCACAGCGGTAATGGACAATTCCGCTTCCAACCTGTAGGGCGACCGCAGAGGAAAAGTTACTTGGTCGTGCTTTAAAATAACCAGCTTCATCTGCATCTTTATGCGGTGCTTGCCGTCTTTAGCGGGAGAGAGAAGCAACACGAACGGAAGCGGAAAGGGCTTGAATGGAGTGTGTTTGGCTCTAGATAAAAATATTTGAAGATGTGGCGGCGAAAGAGCATTAGCGTAAACGACCCTGAGCGCTTGAACCGCTCTGGTGTTGTGACACGCTGCTCACTTTAAACTGTAGAAACGGGAAAATGGCGCAATTATGTCCCTTTAGCCTTCACTTGGCCTTTAAGTGTAGTCTATCAGTTAAATATGAACTAAAAGCTGCATGCGTAATATAAGAGTTATCAAAATGCGCAATTTTTGTAATTTACAACCTTGACATTCAGCATGTTTCCTGTGACGACATCTGACATCTACGTTTATCGTGGCGTGAGAAACTCTCACATAAACCATGTGACATCCAATGGGAGCGGTCAGACTGAAACGGGTTTCCAGAAATGCACACATGAATGAATGTAGCTTGAAACTGATTTATACTAATTGCATTTCATGAGATGTTTTTTTTCCGACATTCACACTTGCTAAATACGATCGGATTCTAACCGGATAGCACAAAAACTGATTTTGAACGAGGCTATCAGTGTTGAAAAGAAGTTGTGTTGAGCGGTCTCTGTTATTGGTGGAGTGAAAGATGGGGGCGTGGCTAAAGGGTTCTGTCAGGATCTGTGAGGACCAATGGGAAAATCCGTGGAACCTCGCATCATTTCCTTTAAAGATATTTTGAACACGAAGACGACGGTGGTAAGAGAGATTTTTCTATTGTACTATTACTAGGCATATTTATTTTGACGTATACATATTCTATTCCATCTATATTTTATTAATGCTCCATTCAGTCAGTTATATTTTTGTGTCATGGATGTATTTACACCACCTGAGAGGTAAAAGCCTTCTGGTTACACACAGGAAGTGAATGCAGTTTTTTTTTTGTCATGATTTGAGCGTTTAGAAACAGAGACAGTTGTTGTCAGATTTCATTGGTGATCTCAAATATGACATTTAATCGTAAGCTTGGCGAACAGCTTTGGAGAATTTGATGTTTCCTCAAAAGTGCATGAGTGAATTAGCGTTTCAAAGATGGCCGCCGACTTGCTTTAAAGGGACATCTAAATAACATCTTGTCTGTTTTGCAGGTATTGTCACTGGGATTATGTCCATGTAGAAGGTGAAACGATAAGTATAGATGTATATGTTGGAGTACAAGATGGACGTGGACAATTACTGTCAATTGAAGTATTCAATGTCTGAGTCGGCACTACATTTGAATATGAATTTACTTCGAGACAGCTAAAAAAGCAAGTTCTACATGTGAAACTCGAAAAATGAGAATATCGTGCAACAGTTCATGTATTTCAGTAATTCAAATTAAAAGGTGACACGAATATATTTAGTATATATAACTATATACATATGCATGATTATACTTTTCAGAGGGCCGACATTTCAGTATTTAAAATCCTTTTTTTTTATTGATTTCATGTAATATTCAAATTTTCTGAGATTTTGAATTTGGGTTTTTCATAAGCTGTAAGCCATAATCATCAAAATTATAACTTTTGCACGATATTCTAATTTTTCGAGTTTCACCTGCATATGACAGGGTTCGTAC